AAGAATATATATATATATATATTTAAATCACATGAAACTATGGAAATGCACAATTAGGACACACGAACAACCTTTACTCTGCCTTTCAGATCCCCGAGAACTTTTTTCAGATTTTCCCCAAAACAAAATCTATACCTCAAATTATGGGTTAATTTGTATTAGTCAGTAACAAAATAAAAGGAGGCAGTGCTGACTGGAAGTTAGAGAATGGTCCCACGTGTCAAAAGGACTAAGTTCTGGGCCACGCTATGTCAGTGCATTACCATACAATCTTGATCAAGACACTTTGCCTTCCTGTGCCCAAGGTTTCTTTAGCTATAAAGGGAGGGGATGCTAACACTTACACGTGCCTTTATAATGTGCCTTTAAATCTAGTTTTAAAAAACACAATGGAGCTTCATACCGGAATAGATGTAGGAAATAATGCACACATCTACCAGCTAGTGAAGAGATGCAACAGCATCAGTTATAAAAAGACTACCAGAGGTTATCCACCGATTAATGAATACTTTAGATGGTCTTTGCCAAATTTAATGAAGCAAAGGCAAAATGGTATACTGAGGAAAATGGGTCCTTGCTAAAGAGGACCATCTTCCAAGAAGGAGAGTTAATAGAAACCAGAAAGTTTAGAGGGGAGTTAATAAACAGATAAATAATAATATTAATAAGGATTCTTTTCAACCAAATCTTAAAGCACTTCACAAAGGAGTTTGGGAGTGTTATCCCCATTTTACAGATGGGGAAACTGAGACTCAGAGATAAATTGGTTTATCCAAGGTAACTCAACAAGCCAATGGCAGAGCTGGGATGAGAACCTTTTGTATCCTACTGGAGTTACTATTTCCATTAAGAAACAGACTATTATTATCACTCTTATATCAGGCCAAGATCTGTAAGGTCTGCATAAATAAGGCTGTGTTGATCTTCACATTTTAGGAATATTTAAATTTGTCTGTTCCTACAAACTTTCCTTTCTAACCTGGGAATGAACTTGCTTCTCCCTAAAGCACAATTTAAATTTCCAGTGGAACATCACAACAGATGAAGGACCTGCTTCTCACCAGTCTTGGGCATTTTATTTGAGAAACAAGTTTTGTTAGGAAATCTTGTTTGTTGGATCAATTGAATAGGTGGGAGAGATGCTAGACAAGCTTTTGGGCACTCTATGCCCCTTTTCAGGTCATTCCTTGGGCTTTTATTGTCATTTACACTTCGTCATTAAATAAGAATAGCAGAGACTCCGCCTACGTACTTCTTACATGTAAACAGCATTGCTAACTGTTAAAGCAGTCATCAGGTCCCCAAGGAATAATGAGATGAATTGAAATAAGGAGATTAAAAAAATGAAATAATTGTTGTGGGTTCCCCCCGCACCTTTATGTAGTTTTCCTTGACATAACAATAGCTACCTGCCTATACAAATAAAAGAAACCTATTGGGTATTACTGATTGCTGGTGACTAGCACTTTGGCAAATGTTCAGCTTCTGTGTCCCTGTGTAGGACATCGTGCAAGCAGGGTGAATGCTCCAAGGAAAACTTCAAACTATCAGTAACTCCACAAAATACAAGTAACACCAAAAAGAAAGCCTGGTCTTTTGGCACATACTTTGCATGTTACTCTCCTATGTGCCTTGAGGTTTTATACTACTTCCCATCAGACTGGGAACTGAGTATCAAAGCAAAGTTAGCAGCAGCTCAGAGACAATGTGTTCATTAGCATTTGAGATGGCAGCTGCTGCTTCAAATTGCAAAAAACTCTGCCTTTGCTGAAAAGCTCAGCAAATATTGTCAAATGTTCAACACAGAGTATATAAGTAAAGAGAATATAGACACAAAGGAACGTGTTTTAAGCTTCTTCGACTAATGGAGGCTCTTCAATGACAGACACAAGATTCAAAGGCTGGAGTAAGACATTAGAAATAAAAAGTGTGTCTTTTAAAGTGAGGGTTATTGGTCCATTGGAAAAACTTTCCAAAGGATAAAGTGCACCCTCCATCTCTGGAGACTTTAAATTGGAGATGGGTGTTTTTCTAAGGGACAGGAATTCAACAAGAAGTTGTGTGGGAAGCCCTAAATGAGATTTGCCTTAAATTATGAACAAGTTCAGATTATCACAATGGTTGTTCTCCTGTATTCCAGTGATATCTATCACCAGCAGCTGCTAAGAGACCCTGCGCCAGATGCATCTGTAAATGGGCTGTCTACATCCATGAATGCATCTGTACACATCCTCTCTTTTACCCTGGATTACTTGATTTCCAGAGCATCAACCTAGAATAGTCTTTTTGTTCTAATGTAAAACTTAGTTTGTGTGATTATTTTGATGTCCTGTTTGCAGAACAACCCTCCGACCCACACCCATGTGACATTGGCAAAGAATTCCAGAAAGGCTACTTTCATCAGACACTGAACAAGGACCCTATGTGGAAAATTCACCCTATTAAAAGAAGGCAGACAGCGTTACTGATGATGATCCCTCTGCTTCACTGCTTTCTCTGGTAAGAAAGCTCCCATTTAAGTTTCTGCCACAAGGTAAAAAGCCCTGCATACACCAGAGGGAAAAGAGGTGTTGGTTAATATGTTGAAATTGCTACTTGCTTTGTCTATACTAAGATTTTAACATGTGCTTGTGACACACTTGTTTTTCCCAGTGAAGACAAGGGCAAAGAGATAATGCCAACATCATTACACATCCTTTGTTGCAATGTAATATTTTTCCAGGGCTTCCTAAAATCTCTCCCCCTGCTAGTTCCATAAATAGTTAATCTTTATTTGTCCGGTTTTTAATCTGTAAGAAAACGTTCCTTGTTTAATAACATATATCTTTGAAAGAAGGTATTTTTGAGAGGAAGCATGAGAGGCTTGGTAAAAATCAAGGGGGCCAATATGTATACAGTTGATGTTGCTAAGTGAGAAGCAGGAAGTGATGATGATAAATGTTGGGCGTATCTGAAGAGGTGGAAGCGGTACCGAAGAGGGAGAAGTGGCAGAGAGCATGCCAGGGGAGATCTGAGGGTTGTCTGAAGCATCTCAGAAATGGGAGATTCCTCCTCAGCTTGCTCCTGCAGCCGTACAGCCGAGGGCAAGCAAAAATCAGGGGCATCTGAACCCCAAGTCTCTGGGCTTGGGCCTCCATGTAGGATGTCTGCCAAAGGATTTGGAAGTATCTGAAGCCCCAGGCTAGGGTGGAGGATACTTGCCAGTAGCAGGGCCACATATGGCTCTTGAATGACTCACAAAAATTTGGACCTGATCTGGCTAATTTGACCTGGGACATGAAAAATGTCCTTTAAAAATCAAGAAAAAACTCTCAGGTAGGATTGCCAACTCTGTTTGAGTCTATTCTGGGCGGTTTCCGGAACACCAACGCGCCTGCGACACAACGCGACGGTGCCCGCGCACTTGGGCGTAGCGGCTCATACGGTGCGTAGATTTTACGTCAGGAAGGCAAATGCACATTTTAAAAGCCCACCGGACTACTGTATAAATCAGATTCAACATTTAATATTTATTTTAATGAATGCCCAGTTTATCTCCTGGGTGATTTTCAGTCTCCTGGAGATTTGTATCCAATTCCTGGAGACTTCAGGACAGTCCCGCAGGGTTGGCAGCCCTGATCTTGGATGGTACCGAACGTGGTGTTTAGAGAGCTTGGTCTTTCCCTCCCTCATCCATCCACCTGCTTATTGGAAAGCATACAGCTCCCGTTCACAAAATATGTTTCAGCTTTCACTGAACATTTCTGATCCTCAGTTATAAAGAAAAATTTACAAATAGGCCCCAAGGGTGACCTAAAGGCACAAAACCAGAAAGAAAAGCCTTGAATTGGCATTTAGGGCCGGGAGCCGGGCCAGACCTGGGGACGGTGGCAGGCAGGGCCGGCACGGCTGAGGCAGGAGGAGGGCAGGGAGCCCAGGGCTGGGCAGGGCAGAGGGCAGCGGAGAGGGCCGGGCCCGGGGTGGAGGGGGGTCGCTGCCGGGTGGTGCGAGGACGGGGCAGGCTTGCCGCGGTGTCAGGGCGGGCTGGCCGGGGCTGGCCACGCGCAGGCCTGGCAGGGGCAGGTGATGCACCAGGCCAGGAGGGACGTGGGGGCGGAGAGAGCCGTGTTGGCGCGAGCCGGGAGCAGCCGCGCAGGACCGAGCCCCTTGGGGCCGGCAGGCCCGGGCG